AGTATATTGTTGAAAATAGAAAAGATAATGGCCAATTTCACAGGAATTCTTCAAAATTTTACTAATAACATTAAACAGTTGTAAACTAAATTTAATTCACCAGATACGCATTTTTACCATAAATGTCTTTTAAATGACTCACGAGATCAAAATTTAAAAAAAATACAGAACCTTATACAAATTAAAGTTGACAGATTGATTGATTGAATTGTTGGTTGCTTAAAGTTCAGTGGCAAATATTTCATGCACATTCAGGACGATAACAAATAAACAATAAATACAATAAGGAAAGTAATGTAATAGAGGCCATCCGGGATGGTAGATCCCCAAGTCCGGGTATTAAATATGAGTCACAGAATTGTTCACTCGTTTGATGTGAAATTTTACAATTAAAGATTCACACCTTTAATGTTTTATTTTCACTAAGAACCACACAGGACTTTAAAAAAAAATGAAATATGCTACAACTAAGACCATTTATTTTTTTTTCCTTGTTCCGACATTGTAACAATTAATATTTTTAATTAAATGATAAAATGAAAAAAAACATGAAACGTAGCTTTTTTAGATTGAATTGAATTATTCGCTTTATTAAATATGAGGTACGATTAGAATTTAGAATGGAAACGGGGACTTTGTCGAAATGACAACCACCAAACCAAAAAGCCATTGGCCACAAATGGGTCTTTGACGCAGCGAGAAAATCCCGCACCAGAGGCGGTCTTCAGCTGGTCCCTAAACAATTATGTATACTGATTAAGCAAAATGGACGCCACAACAACACTCCAAAACATATAAATTAACCAAAATTGGAAAAAAACATAAGACTAACAAAGGCTAGACGTTCCCGACTTGGGACAGGGGCAAAAATGTGGCGGGGTTAAACATGTTTTCAGATATCTCACGGATTGTCCATTAGTCAAAATGATGTGACTTTCATGATGTTTTTTTTTTTTTTTTTTTTTTTTAATTTAACTTCCATTTAGTTTGAATTTTATTAAGACAAATACTGCTTTGGTTAACAGGACCAAGAGGGCCAGCTGGATCCTAGGGACCAAGTGGGGACAACGGAGCACCAGGTAAAAAAGGACCAAATGGAGACCGAGGAAGCCAAGGATTACCAGGAACACCAGGCAAAAAATGGAGCCCGCGGAGACAGAGGACCAAGAGGTCAGTTCATTTTTTTATGTTTAGCTCCCAACTTACATAAGAAAAGAAAAATATTTTTATCTATTAACAACTTCAAATGTTTTTCTTGATATTTTGTCCTGAATATTTATACTTTAATAATCTGGGTTTTTTTTTTTGGCAAGATATTTTATGGCCAAATTTCAACGTGAAGTAAATGTTAAATTTAAATAAATAAATATGAAAAAAACCTATAATTTGAAGTAACAAAATCACACATTATCATAAATTTGTAGTAACTAAATCATACACCGTAAAAGAGAAAGATTTATTTGAAATATGAAAACACTTTCACAGGTCACTAATATATATACTAAAAATTCCATTAGACTTTTAAACATTTGAAACAACAGTATTATAACTCTTTGCAATGAATAAAAATATATTTAAAACGGAACAAATGAAATATCCTTATAATTTAAATCATCATTTTGTATTTGTTCTGATGATTAACCTATTGAAACGATGGGTATTTTCACAGGAAGCTCAAGATCAACCAGGTAACAAGGAACACCACGAAACGGAGGAAAGGTAGGCCCACAAGGACCACATGGACCAAGAGGAGCACGAGGTATTTTAAAGTATTCGATTACATGAAATTTGCATATTGAATAAACGCACAGATAAAGACGGATAACTATTGAAGTATATTTATAATAATTGCATGCCTATAACACGAATAGCATTTAAACTAATAATATAAAGTATTATTTTCCATAAAATAAGAAATAAAAAAAAAATCTTTTTTTTTCTCAAATAGATTGTAATGGTGGTTGGTTTTTACTTAATAGTTCATTCGTGTTTATCCAACTTTGAATTATACATATAGCTTCTAAACTGCCGTATTGGCCGTAGTTAGCTATGAGGTTACCACGCCTACCAGTCTTCTTCCGGTATGCACGGCCAGTGCCGGTCTTATGTCTTATGACGTCAGACAACAAGTTTTGCGTTTGAACTGTACGACTGGGAAAGCTTATATAGAGCAACTGGACATCCCCTTCTTCAGGTTGATATTTTATTAAGAATTCTTTTTAAAAACCACCATTATGCCTCTATTTTGACATTTTTACCTTTTATGTCTGTTTGTTTTATTCACGCATCGTTGTCAATATAATGGAATTTGATGCGACTGTCATACAAGTGAGATGTTTAGTGCTATAAAAACAGGTTCAATCCACTATTTTCTACATAAGAAAATGCCTGTACCAAGTCAGGAATATGACAGTTGTTGTCCATTCGTTTGATGTGTTTGTGCTTTTGATTTTGCCATTTGATTAGGGACTTTCCGTTTTGAATTTTCCTCGGAGTTCAGTATTTTTGTGATTTAACTTTTTGCTATTCTTAAATATTTACAGTATTATTATTCATTGTTAATTGTTCTTCAATTATTTGGGTAATATTAAATTAATATCATTGAAACTAATTCTCTTTTCTAATATTCCGTGAACTCGGGAAACTCATTTCCGTTTCAAGATATTAAATTTTCAAATATATATTAAACTTTAATCAAAAACATCATACTACAATTCCAGTATAGTTATCAATAATTAATTACTTTGAAATAGTTAATAATAATTTTATTTTTGTACAAAGTCACAAGGACCCAATGGACAACGTGGATACCAAGGAGCCTCAGGTAAATAGTATATTTGGTGGAAAAAGGATATATAAAAATAAGGAGATGTGGTATGATTGTCAATGAGACAACTTGCCAACAGAGTTCAAATGAATTATACCGTACGATTATATAATTCAGACAATATTCTGACGATCTGTTAGAAATGTAATAAAGCAAAATACATAGACCAGGCTTTTGATCTGAAGTATTCCAAAGAATTAATAGCAAAGATACGAAGGTATTAAAACTCGTTATATGAAATAAGAATATGAAAAAGTTATTTACCAAAACAAATGCAAACTCAACAATACACCTTTAAACAGAAAACTTTAATTTTAAATTTAAATTTCCCCATAGAAGGGTTGATGTTTGGTATTAAATTTGTATTAAATTAATAATTAAGATCTATTTTGTTATATCTTGTGATACGTTTGAACGTTGTTTTCAATTTAGACTTGTTTATAATTTTTCGTTTGGGCTTGTATTATATTTTCTTTCAAAAGAATCTATCCTAAATTTAGGTAAATTATATGGCCTTCCAAATACTGTTTAGATTCCTAACACCACTGAAGAGACATTAATTGTCGAAATCCGGATATGGTGTACAAATATTTGCACCTCATGTTTGCGGTATACCATTTGTTCCGCAAGTTTATTGTTTTCTGTATCGTATTAAATTAATAATTAAGATCCATTTTGTTACATCTTGTGATACGTTTATTTGGCAATCGCCATGGCAGTCAGCAGGGTTAAAAACATCAGTTGTTCGACCTGTTAGTCAAATGCGTTTTGTTAAAATATACTTTTTCACTTTTTGGTCTTTTGGAAAATGTTTGTTTGTGCTGTATTTAGACCCCTCTACCAAGAAATTTGTTTTGCATGCACACGTATACAAATTGCGGTTTTTATCCAACGCAATCATAGATTTTAACGTTGTTTTCAATTTATACTTGTATATATATATATATAGCGTTAGATAAGACAAATCACAATTTTTGAAAAAAAAACAAGCAAATATCTTATTATTCAGCGATGAGAGAACAATTTTATTTTTGTTTTCAGTCACCCAAACCACTTGTTTTTCTGTAAGCGATCATAAGTCCTTTTTTGAAGATTGGTTTGTTATACGACCCCCCCCCCCCCCCCCCCCTTTCCCACGAAAAATCCACCCATAACATTCGAAAAACAATTCGATCGGGACTTAACTGTATACAAGTTTATTTGAATGTTTACTCTTGAACATGGATGAAATATTTTCCACTGGAAGTTAAGCAACACACAATCAATCTATCAACTGTTGTAACTTTCTACTTTTTATCCTCTTTGTGAATATATTCTTTTCCTATTTTTTTATAAATTGTAAAAACCCTTGCATTGTAAGAATTTAAACCAGACTAAACTGAGGTTTGTTTGATGGATTGTCAAGGAAGAATTAATTTAAAATGTTATGAAAATGTCTAAATTTTCTGCACCATTTCATGTGCATCGAAAAATAAAGAAATGAATCATGTCGTAGTTTGTGTAAACTGTTATTGAACAATAAACGTTTGTTGTAATTTTCTTTTGAGTGTATTAATTATTCACTGTAATTATTTTTCTTTTTCGTGCATTTGTTAAAAATAACTCAATAAATAATGTTATAATTATTCACTGTAATTATTTCACTTTTTCGTGCATTTGTTAAAAATAACTCATCAAATATATCAGGCATTTACAAAAGACTCCTCAGTGACGTTCGAACAAAGAAAACATTAAAAGGTCACATAAAGTACAAAGTTGAAGAGCGCTAACTATTTACGAAAGATTTCGCCGAAAACATCTAATGTAATCTACTCCTGAGGTAGAAAATCCTGTACGTACTAAATTTGAATTTTCATTAAAATACTTTTTAATCGCTTATTAAAATTCCTAAATTGTGAAAAAAGATCTTAACAGCTATCTGCGACCTGATTCTTACATTATTCACTTTGAACTTTTAAAATGTCAATAATTTTTTGTCGGCCTTGAAATACTGTAACTTCAGTCAAATTTGTAATAAGGCGTTATTATTTTTCGTAAATGTTTAAACGTCACTGGCTCTGTTAATACAAAATTAGCAATTACTGAGGCTAATTTCTAAAATGTAATTGGAAAGTAATTAAGATAACAGAACGTCATGTCTCATTTATTCAATAATTTAACTTATTTTGTTCACTTTGTGTAAATTTTCGTCATAGGTGAGGATATACAAAACAGCTGTCTGAATAAAAAGAACGTTAATTCCTATCACTGTTTTGGATTAAGGTTAGTGTTTAGATACTTTACTCATACTTCAATATATATATATATATACCTACATTTGGGTAGTAAGATGCACACCTCGGGGGTACAAATGGACATTAACTGTACACCTCAGTATACTGTACAGTTGAGCTGTACACCTTAACTTTAGGTATATGTAAAAAAAAAAGTATAAATATTAGCAATGTCAAACTAATGCCACACGAAGGATCGATATATTGCGATCACAAAACGGTCTTGGTGGTAAAAAACTATTGAGGAATAAGAAAGATATTGATTTCTGAAGTGACATACCCCCATTTTTCTATATATGTCACTTTGCACCAAATCGGTACAAACCGAGTTAAAGTGTACACTAACTTTAATCACGATTAATTATTGGTTCCCCCATATATATGTTATGAAATTTGCACTCAAATGATAGTTTAATATATCTTTCATTTTTTGATACTTCAAACAAGCATCGGAACTTATCCGTTAAGAAATAATCTAAGATATATAATCGATCCTGACATATATATGCATGGTTTTCGATCGGCTTGAAAAAGATATACACATCCGGGCATTTGAATGTTTGTTTTCATTTTAAAACAAAATGGAGGATGTCCAAGCGATGACCTATATCATCATTTAGCCGTCGGATAATGGTTTACAATGATTGAAATACGTAAATTAATGTAAGTTTTTATTCAATTATATGAAATAACGACTTCAACAAACAAAAGTATTCCTGAAAGAAGAAACAACGATCGTCGTTAACAATTGCCTGACATCTGTATCCTACGACTTTTATATCCATTCTAATTGATAATTCAGTGTTAGATAATTAAAATATATATTGTTCTCATCAATATATGTATAAGCCTGAATAGTTGGGCAACAATCTATAAAATGGGGGCGAATCTTGTCTATAAACAATTACAAAAAAGGGGGGACACATACGTATGATCAATCTGAAAATGATTGAGACAAAATTGTTGTTATTGTTTGTTTTTCTTGTCCCATCTCCAATACGCTTTTTTAGCTCACCAGAGCCTGAAGGGCCACTAGTGAGCTTATGCCATCACTTGGCGTCTGTCGTCGTCCGTCGTCTGTCGTCGTCGTCTGTCGTCGTAAACTATTTAAAAAATCTTCTTCTCTGAAACTACTAGGCCAAATACATTTAAACTTAAATATTCCTTAGGGTATCTTGTTTATAAATTGTATCCAAAGTTTTGATCCATCGTCAAACATGGCCGCCATGGCTAAAAATAGAACATAGGGGTCAAATGCAGTTTTTGGCTTATTTCTCAAAAACTAAAGCTTTCATAGCACATCTAACTGGGATAAAATTGTTCAATTGGTCAAGATCTATCAGCCCTGAAAATTTCAGACGAATCGAACAACCCATTGTTGGGTTGCTGCCACTAAATTTGGTAGTTTTAAGGAAATTTTGCAGGTTTGTGTTATTATCTTGAATATTATCATAGATAGATATAAACTGTAAACAGCAATAATGTTCAGCAAAGTAAGTTCTACAAAAAAGTTAATATGACCATAATTGTCAATTGACTCCTTAAGGAGTTATTGCCCGTTAAAGACAATTTTACACAATTTGTTCATTAAGTTTGCTAACATTTAAAAATCTTCTCTGAAACTACTGGGCCAATTACCTTCAAACTTTAACTAAATGTGCCTTATGGTATCTTGTTTATAAATTGTATCCGAAGTTTTGATCCATTGACAAACATGGCCGCCATGGCTAAAAATAGAACATAGGGGTCAAATGCAGTTTTTCGCTTATATTTCAAAAACTAAATCTATTAGAGCAAATCGGACATGGGGTAAAATTGTTCAATTGGTCTAGATCTATCAGCTCTGAAAATTTCAGGCGAATCGAACAACCCATTGATGGGTTGCTGCAACCGAATTGGTAGTTTTAACAAAATTTTGTAGTTTTTTGTTATTATCTTGAATATTATTATTGATATATATATAAATTGTAAGCAGCGATAATGTTCAGCAAAGTAAGATCTACAAAAACGTTAATATGACCAAAATTGTCAATTGACCACTTAAGGAGTTATTGCCCTTTTTCAGTGAATAAGTTCATGGTCAAAGGTCAATGTCAGGTTATAAATTTTGATTTTGGCTTATCCTTGCTTCTTTTCAGAAACCGCATAAGCATGATTAGGTATGGACAATTTTTTCTCCTTATTTTGTTAGTTGCAGCATGTCTCAAAATGTTATTTTAGTTATAAAGGGTGCGTTAACTTTTGATGGGACTTTCCACCCCTCTTATACTTAAAATTAGCTGTATTGGGATAGAACTCATTTCCGATATTATAGTGGAGACTTGGGGTCATTTGATTTAAAGTCCCTGCTTTATGACCATGAAATGTATTCAAGGGCAAAGGTAAATTTGACGTTCTATATTTTGACCTTTACTCTATCTCATTATTTATACATGATAGAGCCATTGGGTCTTAAAAATAAGGTTGGAAGACATATGACATTGAAAATGTCAACCAGATGTAACCTTTTAACAACTTATCTCCCTTATTTGAAGAAAAAGGTTATGGGAACTATATATTTTTGAAATCAGTGTAAAGTTAGCTATTATTTGAAACTGAAGGTGACTTTGGTATACTGAAATTGGCTTATTATCTCCCCAAGTTGATGTAAATTTTGCTTTTAAAATTATATTTTCAAAATAAGTGTGTGATTTACTATTACTTAGTATTTAAGATGGGACATACTGTTTTAAAAATATATTTAAAAAAAAATAATTAAAAAAATATATTTTTAAAAAACTTTATTTAGTCGTTGAACTTGTCAATCTATTTTTTAAAAAGTAATAATTTTATATAAATGAAAAATTAATATTTTAATGTTACATTTGGTTAAGTCAGATCAACATTGCTAATAAAACATTATGAATTTAATTTTACACTTATGTTATTAAAACATAAAAAATTTAAGTTTTTTTGTGTCATTTTAAACTAATACAATGTATGTAATGTGTTTAAGCATCATGGAATACTTTGGGAGTTAAAAAATGCAGACTTTAAGCATAGTGAGTACATAATTTCTTCTTTTATAAGTCATAAAAACCTACATGGCTGTATGTTGAAAGATAAAAAAAAAATTATGCACCAACATAAGAACAAGGTAATGAGGATTGACATTTTGAAAGAAATGCATATTTATACAACTGAATGAGTTAGTTTGCCAGTGTTACTTATTACTTAACTTTTTTTATTTTTGCAAATCAAAATGCGGAAATATTTCATTGTGCATTTATACATAAGACAACTTGTAAATGAATGCTATCTTAGTTTCTTGGTTAAAAAATAATGTCACAAGTGTGGGACATTAAGTTATAGAATGTGTAGTAATTAAACATTGAATTAGTATATGTTGATTTTATTAAACATTAAATTTATATTATAAAAACTAATGTTTTTCAAAAATGATATTTAGGTAAAAACTCTATCATATCAATTAAACACTATAAATTCATTCAAATACCAATTTTATCATTATGACGCTGCATGTACATTAAAAATTTTACTTAAAATTCACAACAACAACCAACGTTATTAAAACATAAAAATAATTACGTTATAGATAGGTTACTAAATAATATGTTTTAACATTTGCTGGAATGACAGTCATCACGAACAACCGATACAAATGTGGCAGTACATGATGTAGGTTAAATTGCAAGTCAAACATTTCACTTTGCCATTTTCCTTTATGATTTAATTATATCTTTCAGTAACTGCCTTGCTTTGGATGAAAATTACTTTTTCATCCTCCAAATAGTATTGTTTCCATCCAAACATTTTATTGAAAACATAAGATGTGGTATTATGCTGTTTGCTAAGATTCTCTATTTACTGTCCATTACTGGTATAAGTTTCAACTCATCTTTTAATATCCAAGGATCACTATTTATTGGTAAGGCAGCAATCGCAAACAACTGACACTGCAATGTGGCAGCTAGTGAATGTCGGTTTTGAACACCTCTTTTCTTTTGGATGTAATGCAATCTTTCAGTTACTGCCATGTTTTGGATGAAAAGTGCTTTTTTATCTTCAAAACTGTTATGTTTTCTTCCAATGGTTTTGTAGGAAACATATGAAGTGGTATTATGTTGTCTGCTTAGATTCTCTATTTAATGTCCATCACTAATGTACGGTTCAATTTGTCTTTCAATATCCTATGACTGAAATGGAAAAGCACAACATAATTAAAAACCAATTGTTCAGAGAACAATTGAAGGTCTTTCCACCAAAAACCATGTATTTTAATATTAAAAGTAGTAAAATTAGGTTTAAAATGTCATTTCAATCGTCAAATGATAGCTTATTGTACGCTTATTCCAAAAATATATGGTTTCTATATAATTTTTTTTAAATAAGGGAGATAATTTGTTACTTCCGGTTTGAAAAATGTTACTTCCGATTCTATTTGAATATTTACTTGACACTGATTCCAAAAATATCTGGTTCTATATACTTTTATATTAATAAAGTACAAAAAAAACTACTTCCGGTTTACACAAGGTCACCTCCGGTTGTTTTTTTCAAGGTTAAATGGTTTGAAACCTACTGCAAAAAGTCTCATGGCTTTATCATATAAACATATGAAGTAAAAGCAAAGGTCAAAATCTAGAACGTCAAATTAAGCTATGACCTTGGGATCAATTTCAAGGTCATTAACCAAGGACCTCAAATCAAAAGACCATAGGTCTTAATTATATTTGGTTAATGAGTTATATCACGATACGCATATTTTTAAATACAAGAGGGGAGAAAACTCCCTTTTACGTTCAACGTACCATTGCAATCGAAATTTACGTGTTACGACATGTCGCAACTAACAATTTACTGAAACTAATTTGTCTATATCTTATACGGTTTTTGGAAATAAGTGAAAATAAGCCAAATTCAAAAATTAGAATATGACCTTGACCTTTTACCTTGACCTAATTTTCATTTTTTTGGACCAAGAACCTC